CTAGAAGGAACTACACTGTCTTCCCAATTTATTTTTTTATTCCTCCCATTTTTTTCAGTCCTGCTGGGCCCGAGTATTGCTTTGTATTACATTCCTCAGAGGTTGTGTTTGGCCTTTCTTTCAGGAATTTTCGGAAGCACCTCCGCATGGTGGGGAGCCGAAGGGTTAAAGCACAAAGTAAGTGAGCACCGTAAGATTTGGCTGTGAGGAGTCGGGGTTTGTGCCGGTGGGACACGGGGAATCCTGTGTTGCGTCCAGGTAGAAAGCACCTAGCATTGGGCTGGAGAAAGGATTTGACCTGCTGATGCCATTTTACCCTACAAAAAAGCAAACCAGGTGGTTGTAAGTCTCCAGGACACAGGGATGCCTGCAAGCAGCCTTTAAGCTGTTTCTGAGGACCCGCTGCCTTGGCTGTGGGAGATCTCTGTGGCATCGTGTGAGGAGTGGAAGGAGAGCTTCAGCGTCCGTGTCCCACGTGCTTGTGGTTTTCAGTGATCACCGGCATAGACACCTGTGAGGAGAACCAGAGCCAAGGGGTCAGCAGAGCTGGCGAGGGGCTGCGGACCAGCTCCCTGGGGACAGTTGGTGCTTCACGTGCCATGTGGACCGGCGGCTTTCTCTTTTCTCCTCCCCTGTCCCACCACCATCTACACAGCAGGACCTGGGGGAAAGTTGCCCGGTGGGAGCTGAGAGGATGATAGAAGAGAGAGAGAAGAACAAGGAAGAGATTGGAGCAAGGGGAAAAATAAGGGAGTGTTATGCCTCACTGAGGAAAAAATCACCTCTTAGGCCTGAGAAACAGCAGTTCCCTTTCCCTGAGGAAGGCAACATTCCTCCATAACTTGGTTGGGGCAGCTCCCCTGTTGCTGTGAAATGGGCCGAGAATGGTGTAAGCGGCTCCTGAGAGCTGAGGATTGCTCTGGAAGAGGAAACAGCTTGTTCTTCCCCCCCTGGCCAGGCATCACGTACAGACTGCCCACAGCAAAGTGTTGTTGAGTTGAATTTGCATTCTTGCCTCCCCTTTCTCATACGCCGTGTGAAGTGAACAGCAGACAGCACTGCCCTTTGAAGCGTCTTTATTGGCATCTGAGTTAGCGCTGCCTGAAATGAACAGGGCTCACCTCCCCGCAGAGCTGTCTGGAAGTGCAGGCATGCCTCTCTGCCTTGGTAACTCTCGGGTCATGTTTTCAAAGCTTTCTTCATGTGCACAATAGCTAAATGCCTGGTTTTAAATGAAGCCGAGGATGGAGATCACCTGAAGAACTTCCTGTGTGATTTGTCTCCCCGGACACCCACACTTGGACACGCTGCAGCAGAGGACAGGTTGCTTCTCAGCTCTTGTAATACAGATCTGCTGTGAATTCCTGTGCTGCTGACATGAGATGCTGTTTCTAGATACACTGCAGCAAACTTGCTCTGTCTGCTACCAGAAATAGGTATTAGTGGCTATAAGTGGCTGTTAATCTAGGCGTAATGGCTCTCACACGGGCTTGCCAAGTCAGACGTTGTGGTTGGCAGTTCCCAGGAATTTGCCTGCGGTGCAGCCAGCTGGGCCAAGCTCCCTGGATTCTGACTGGGAAATGCCGGTACAAACAATATAATGCCCATTGAAGGAGAAAGAAAGAAGGAGGAAAAAAAAAGGCAAAAAGCTGGGAGGAGTGCTTACAAGAGTGCAGGCAAGGGAAAACTGAAGAATTTCCTCTTTTGTAACAAAATTTAGAAAGCATGAGCTTTCCCAGAGCTCCCCCTGCTCTGTTTGGTCCAGCTCTGGCTGGGATGTGAAGGGAGACCTGACTGGAGAACTGCTGCCGCCTTCTGGCTGCGTGTGTGTCAGTAGCTGTTGAGTCCCTCTTCCTGTGAGGCCCTGAGGCAGAGCATTTACACTGGGACACTGGAATACCCTTGATTAACTAGAGGTTTGAGCAGTGTGCATTTAAGGAGGGACCATCAAGTGTCCTCCTTTTTCTGTGTTACATACCTTGTAATGGTCCCACTCACAAAGCGGGCCCTTTGTCTTCTGCTGTCTAGAAGATAGACCCTTGTTTGCTGTGTGGAAAGGAGTCACGTTTGGCACATGGAAGAAAAAGCACAGGGGAGTCCGTGATGTGTAGCTTTGGTGGAAACCTACTGGATGTTTTGTTTTGCTGGCAGCAACAGAGGTGGCTTTGGAGTCTGTTAATGTCGTGCTTTGGTTTTATCCTAGCATTTGCCGAACGGCGTGAGAGGAGCTTCAGCAGGTCCTGGAGTGACCCGACTCCCATCAAAGCTGATTCCTTCCATGACTCTCGAGAAAGTGAGTTCTGAGTCCTTTGAGCTTCCTCCTGTGGCCAAATCCTCCAGCTGAGGTGTTGACTGGAGTCCCACTGAGGAAACTCCTCTGTACCCTTTTGTCCCATCTGCGATCCTTTTAGTTTCATGAGATTTGAGCAAATAACACTCCAGGTATATGCACTTGTTCATCTGCGTGTACCTATATTTGTAGAGCACAACGCACCTAACCTTGTGTTACTGTGCCGTTGCCAAAGGACACCCGGTGGTACAGCTCTCTGTATCTCCCTCCATCCCTTATTTGCTTGGGACCAAACAACCTACCTGGAAGCACAGCAGTCCAAGGCTACATTCAGCATAGCGGGGCTAACCTGCCTGGCTTCCCCGGCAAGAGCCCCTTCTGAGCTCTTTCCTAGGCTAGAATAGCTCAAGACCGCAGCTGCAGTGCTTCAGGAGATGTAGCTTTGATTTCCTGGCTGTGCTGGCTGCACAGATGATAGCTTGGGGCAATCTGATCTTCGTTTGGGCTGCCAGCAATTCTTCTGGGAATCGCAGTAATGCTGCGATGTTCTGCTTGTGGGGACTGAGATGCTGTTGTGTTAATTTATAGGAGGAAATGCCAGCATCTTGCCACTGTCTTTTTATAAAGGGAATGGATGTTTTACCCAGCTTTTACTGAAATCCTGTAGGCAAGGGACTTGGTGGGTAGGAGTTTGCCCGTGTTGAAATGGGTTGTATTGTAAATGAATTTCACAAATGAAATGAACTGACCTACCAGGTAAGCACAAGGTCCGGCCCTCCTAGCTGTAGAAGACACTGTACCAGGTTGCAGGGGGAGATGTATGAAAGGCCAGGTTCAAAACATGACCCGATTGTTCCTTTGCAGTCTGATTCCTCCCCACTCCCTCAGCTAACTCAGAGGCGAATGGAAAAGACATGGTTCGGACAGGCTCCAGGCGCTGCCCGGTGACACTCGGACATCCCAAAAGGCACAGATAGAGGCATCTTGGTTCTTTTTCCTCAGTCCCTGGCTTCAGGGAACCATCTCTATTTTTAACTTTTAACGGTCAATTATATTCCTTCCAGATGTTTTTTTCCCCAGGAGGCACTGAAGGCCAACAGGTAAGGTCAATTCGGAGAGCAAATTCAAGTACACTGTTGAAATAATACTGTGTTTGCTACACCTGTCCTCACGCGCTGGGACTTCTCTGCCAGGATCCATTTGATCAACGAGGTGGAGTTTCTTTGTAACCAGTCAGAAGACATAGTCAGAGCAGTAATTATTCCAAGGAGACCAGCTTTGAAGTCTTTGGATTCTTGCTCATCAGCTTGGCAATGTTAAAGTGTAGAGTCTGTCTGTGTTGCGTCTCCTTCTCCATTTCTGAAATGACAGGGCGACTGTTGCGAACTAGCTTTGGAAAGCTAAACTCGGTGACTGAGAGAGTGATGAAAAGTTGTGTGATACGTGGTATCGGCCTCTGTGTGTGCGCTCTGCATTTGTTAAGTGTTTGTCTGTTTAGAGATGCCAGCCCCAGCGTGTGGCGTCTGTTGCTCTGTGGAAGAAAGGAGGGCACAAGTCTCATGGCTTGTGGTACCTCTTGTGAGGTAGCTGCCAGACAGGATCGAGTGGGGAAGGCAGGTTCTTCTGCCCTTGTAATGCACACTGTGTTCTGGCAGGCCATGACCTTCAGGATTCCTGCGGCACTTTGGATGGTGACTTTGACTTGAACTGGGAAGCAGAAAAGGAACTTGAAGCCATGGCATGTGACGGAGAAGACTTTATTCCACCAAAAATAATGGTGAGGGTTTCCAACTCGGCTACCTGTATCTGCTTAGGCTTTGTCTGTCCTTTCAGAGCTGCTAAGTTTAGGAACTTCATGGGAAGAGGCAATTTTTTTTTATAGCCAACTCTTCGGGTGTGTATGAGGGTCACTCAGAGATCAGCCAAGATGTGACATGGTATTCAGCAACTGTTATTCCTGGAGATAATGTGTTGGGGAAAAAAACTAGAGGTGGAAGGACCTGTAGTCCAACCCCATGTCAGAGCAGGACTGTCACCAACACTGAATGGAGTTAGCCTGAGTCTCGATAACCCTGGCAATAGAGACCCGAGTCCCCAGTCCCAGCAGTCCCTCCCTGCTGTTGTTACTTGCCTGACGTGCTTTGGAGCCGTATGTCATCCCTTGAGTTGCTTTCTGCTCTTTGATCATCCCTTGGTGCTAGGCTCTGGCTGTGCTCCCCCCTACTCTGCTTGGTGGGGTTTGGCAGACAGGACCAGGTTCTGACACATCCCTTCTTTGGCCACAGGCATAGGTACTCAGGCAAAATGGGGTCTCAAGCTTCCAGCTTGTTCTCAGGGCAGCACTGCCAGTCCAGCACAGCAGCACTGTGATTGAACAGGTCCTGCTAAGACTTGGGAAGAGTGAAGGACATGGAGATGGTCTGCTTTTATATGTGTTCCCAGGCTGTCTGTGCAGACTCAGCCCTAAAGCACTCTCAGGGCAGAGTGACCAGGTGAGACCCCAACACTTGGGTGTGCTCAGTCCTTGACTCCTCCAGTGTATGTGATGATTGTCCATCCCTGGACTCTGTATGTGGTGCCTCTTCAGAAACTTTACGTTAACTCCCATATGGCCGAAGCAGTGATGTGCTGCCTGCCAGGAGGGAGGGCTCTGGAGCCAGCCCAAGCTGGAACCTGGGCTGCACTTGCAGGTCCACCAGCACCGCTGCCTGCTCCACTCTCGCAGCGGTGAACAGAGGTGCCTGAAGTCACAGCACAGCCAAATTGCCCGCGTTCCCATAGCCCGCTGGCTCGTGCTGGTGGCAGGCCCATCCCCTCGGGCCCTCATGCTGATGGAGCCAGCCGAAGCTTCAGCCAGCGTTGCCAGGCAACCTGCATCTGCCTGACATCCTGCATCTGCCTGACATCCTGCGCTGCATGCCTACCTGTGCCTGATGCCGTTTTATCCCTTGGCCGGTTCCTGTTCAGGCCTGCAGCCGTCCCACCGCCAGCCAGCTGAGCGTGCCGGTTTGAACAGTCCTCTACAGGCAGAACCACGGACCCTCGCGCAGAGGAAGGCTGTGCAGGAGCAATCTTTACTGGGATACAGCCGCTCATGGTGATGCACAAGCTTCTTCATCCTCTGTGCACACGGGTCTCCCCTTTACAGTCATCTCAGACTCAGTCCTGGCTTTTGGGCAGAGCTGTGCGCTCATTTGTTGGGGTCAGGGAGACTGTGACACATGGGGGTACGTGGCAGGCCTGGGGGTGCTCTGTCGTAGACCAAAGGCTTGGAGGACCTTCCACAGGGGTGCAGATAGGCTGGACTAGCTGCTAGTTTGGATAACACCCGAGAGCAACAGAACAGGACACAGTTATCATGGCTTTTGTGCTTCTGCCCAGACTCTGCAGGCTTCTCCTCATCCTGTTGCACTTTTTTTTTCATCTTCCAGCTCATTTCTTCCAAGGTGCCCAAAGCAGAGTATGTCCCGACAATTATCCGCAGGGACGATCCCTCCATCATCCCCATTCTCTATGTAAGTATAGCGCTTCTGCTACGTCTGGATGTGTGGGAGCAGGCTTCACACAGAGGACTTTTTTTTTTTTTTTTTTTTGTCCCTATACCTAGTTCCTGTTATGGTGACTCTGAAACACTGATGTGATTTGGAAAAGCTGTCAGGAAAGGGCTGGGGGTGTGCTGAACCCAGATTTGGGTTCTGGGGTAGCTTTGTGGGGGCTCAGGTCTAGGTGGAAGAGTAAGGTGGAGTGAAAATTGCACATGTGGGCTGCCAGGCATGGGAAGAGTGACAAGGGAAGGCAGGGCAGGCCTGAGCACACAAGCAGAGCAGTGTGTTGCCAGGCTTAGGACTCCTCCTGCTCATCCTTAGACAGGGTGAGCAGGACCTCAGAGCTCTGCAGTGGACCATGAACCCCATCACCGGTTCAGTGGTGCATCCCTGTCAGTCATTAATTTAACCTTGATTTTTCACACGAGTCCTGCCTGAGCGGGTTTCTGAAACGCCAGCAAGGAGGCATGGGTCTCTTTTTCCTTATCACTTAATATTCATTTAATTTGAAAGGGAAGGGTGGGACTGGCAGCCCAGAAAGCTCAGTCTCCGTGTGCAGCAGGCAGTGCTGCTGGGCGCTTAGCTTTGCTGCCTCTCTCTTCCTTTGAGAGTTGTGCGGTTGTCCTGGCGACCCTGCGATGCCAGAGGCAGATGTGTCGGGAGCGTGGCTGTTTGTTAGCTGGCTTGGACATGTCTAAAGCCACAGGTTGGCTACAAAACACAGGCCAAGAGGCAAACACTCATTGCTGATGCTGACTACGTCCGATGCATGGTACGTGCAGATGGACTTGTCTGCAGGATTCACCTTCATGCCTTTGGATGGAGTTGGTCTTCATGGACCAACTGGTCCACTTCATAGACCAGCCTGCAGCTTTGCTGAGTCTTGTTTTAGGGTAATTACCGTAATGTGACTAGAAGCCATCAGTTGGTATAATTGTGCTCTTAGAGCATGTGTTTGCCTGGGAATGGGTTTGTGTGCAATATTAGAGGCTATAATAATGCCATGGGAGCTGGTGTAATGACAGTGAGCCTTCATATGTCTTCTCTCTTGGTTTCTAGGACCACGAACATGCCACCTTCGATGACATCCTAGGTACGTGAGTGTTATTTCCTTTTCTTAAGCCCTGCCCGTTGCAAATGTAACTGATCAGTATGTTAGAGTCACTCCACTGCCCTGTGCCTCAGCTGCCACTCATAAAGGTGGTTTTATCACCCCCAGTGACACCTGACAGTCAGTCAGCTGCTCTTGGATGTATTGCAGTAATAAAAGTTCAGTTCTGTGGCCCATTTCCTTTGCCAAGCTCCCAGTTTATGAAAGGGAAGCTGAGGCACAGGGCAGCAAAGATACCTGTTCGCTGTACCCTTGTAGGTGAGAAGGAGCGTTAACAGAAGGTCAGGGCAGCTGGGTCTGGTACCGTGCTGTGGGCACTACAGAGCAGTGGCTGGTGCTGCGGCACCTTCTCTGCCCTGTGATATGCTGGGGTTTGCTGCTCTCCACAGCATGAAAGCAAAGGGTCTGCTTGACATCAGTGGGAATGCAGGTGCTGAGCACCCCTCACAGCTCAGCCTCCTGCCTTCAGGACTAAACCGAGAAGAAATAAGATTAATTTTTAACTTTCTCCGTGGTTCATCTTTTGCAACATGTTTTTTGCAGAGGAAATAGAGAAGAAGCTTAACATTTATCGGAAAGGCTGCAAAATCTGGAAGATGCTGATATTTTGCCAGGTACGTGAAAGTTGTAAAGCGCTTGGGTGGCTTGTTACAAATTTGTCCTTTTCTACAGGGAAAATTACATAGGGGAACCAATATTCCAAAGTCAGGTTCTGTTAAAGTAACTGCATATGTACAGCTTTCACTTCTCATTTCCTCAGACACCAAGCAGTCTCAAGTTGCTGTGATAGCAGGAAATAAAATCTGATTTAGTGTGGCCAAGTTCAGAGCTGGGCTGCTTTCAAGGAAACCCAGGCAAACCAGCATTAGCGCGGCCCTCAAAAGGAGGATTCCGGAGAAGGGAACAAGCGTTTGCGATGCGGTGGTTATAGTTTTCATACAGCTTCAGTACGACAGGGACAGTGGTGGGGGTTGTGGATCAAACTGGCCGATGGCACAGCTCGGAGCTGGAGGCCAGCGTACGTGGGAGAGGGGTCTGGGTACAGGCTTGCTGAGCTGTGCGTGGCACAGATTTGGGCCCTGCTGGGTCTGGGGCTTGCTGGGGGTTTCCTTCCCAAGTCTCTTGTTCCTCAGGGGGTCAGCTTCGGACTTCCCCAGCAGCTGTGCAAGGAACTTGAGAAGAAAATGAGAAGTTGGGATGGTAACCTAGCTTGAACTCCCTCCCACGTGCCTAACGCTGCAATACAGCAGGGTTTGCAGCGCACTGACCTCGGGATTGCGACTTAATTTTCCTGACGTTGTACTTGAGCTTTTTATGCCTGCTACTGCCAAAGTCCAGTTCTTCTACAGTGACATCTTGCCTGCTTATCCCTGCTTCGCTCAGCTTCTCGTCTGCCTACGACGGCAAGTCCCCTCGCATCCCCAAATGAAAGGGACTTTCTTGTCTTCCCTATGACTCTCCAGCCACCCACGATGAAGATTTTTGTCTATTATTATGCTTTTCTAGAGTGAGGTGGGCACATAACAGTTAAAAAACCAGAGACTCCAACCCCCAGCGTACTCCCCATGCAGGAATATTTCCTGAGAGAGTGCCTGCAGTGTCTGCTACCGAGGTTGTAGCAGCCGTGCCAGCCTGGCGTGTCTGCTCTGCTCCCTTGTGGCACTTCTGGGTACGGCCGTGCAGGACAAGGACCACCTCCAGGGTCTGTTTCTTCAGGGCCTGTGCAAAGTGGTTTGCAATTGTCTGTCTCTCTCTTGCAGGGCGGTCCTGGTCACTTATACTTGCTAAAGAACAAAGTTGCCACCTTTGCCAAAGTGGAGAAGGAGGAAGATATGATCCTGTGAGTGGCTGCCTTGTGTTCGGGACTTGCATAGCGTTTTTCTGCTTGATTTGCTCAACGTTTGTAGCACATGGCCTAGAAGGAGAGGTGGAGGGAGCTGGGGTGGCTTGGTCAGGGGAAGAGGAGGCTGAGAGGGGACCTAGTAGCAGCTTACAGCTCCTTCAAGGTGATTGCGAATAGGACAGAGCCGAGCTCTTCTCTGGGATGGTGTGGCCCTGGGACAGGTCACCAGGAGATTGATGCTTTTATCTGACGTTCAGTGTCTCGCTGGACTAGACGTTATCAAAAGAGGAAGGAAAAAAAAAAAGATATTTTATCTCTTAACAAAGGCTTTGCTGACCAGAAACCAGAACATGCACCTTGTGCCTCTCTTGCTCAGAAGCGGCTGAGATAGCATTTCTAAGCAAGCATCTAGTGGCAGAAATCCAAGCTGTTCCCCCCAAGGCTGTCTCTGGTAACTGGCCTCCTAATTGCAAGGGGAAACAGAATTTGGCTCTGCAAAGCCTGCTCAAAGTCCAGCACGTTACTGAGGAGGGTTTTCACTAACATGCCACCCTGTCAGCCAGGGTGGCAGAGGCAATTTCGCTTCTCCTTGCAGAGAGTTAAGCTTTGCCTGTTTTGCTGCCCGCTCACTAGTGCTGGCTCAAACTTACTTGGCTACAAGTGCTTCATTGTGGGGGAGAGGATGTATACCAACCTGTTCCTACACAATTTTTTGTTGGCATGAGAACTGAGTATTAAAATCAACATCTGTTCAGTGCCCTCATGCTCTGGCACAAACGCTGTCAATAAAATTCTTCAGCATGTGCGTGCATACATGCTTCTGAACACATTCCAAGCGTAGCTGGTCTGAAGTCGGTGATTCAGGGACCTTCAGAAAGCTGTGAACACGCAGCTGAAAACTTGGATGCTTGCAAGTGAATGTCTCCATCCAACCTGTATGTCCCTGGGAGCAGTCCTGAGGAAAGCTTGGGCTGCCACCTGATCGCAGACCCCACTGAGGGGCTTAAGAGCCCACCCAAAGTCTCCTCTAACCCACCGCACAGGGGAGCTGGTTGTATGTCATGTTCCTGAGGCACAGCGCGCCTGGTCAGTAGTCACAAAATGTAAAGCGGGTCTGACTCTGCAGCACCAAGCACCGGCTAACATGGAACAGCCTGGTTTGGTGGTGTCTCTCTAGCTATGTAGAAGAACCACCTCTCCAGCTGTTCTCAGCTGATCTCGTGCCCTGGAAATGAACCAGTGTGCTGATAACGCTCACATTTAGAAAGGGCAATTGTTGATAGAAATGGGAGAGGGGAAATTCGAGAGAACTGCTACAAAAAGAGGATGCTTAGTAAAACTGTCAGAGCACTCCTGGTGGACTTTGCTCCCTTCTCTTCACCTTGGAGCTTCCTTGGCTTGATGGGCTGCTCTTCCTCCTCTACCACATGACGTGGACCTGCTCCTCAGGCCCTTGCTCTGCCCCTGCTCTTCCTTGTCCAAGAACTAATGGCTCTTCCTGAGCAGCTTGCTCCTCAGGCTACAAGCCTCAGGCTCTTTCTGAGCAGTGTGCGCACACACATCCTTGTGATTCCTCACGCATGTGAGGAAGTAGATTTTTTTTTTTTTTTTTTTTTTTAATTACATATTCTGGGTTTTTTCCTGTTTCTTCCAGCTTCTGGAAGAGGTTGAGCCGGCTGATGAGTAAAGTCAATCCTGAACCAAATATCATTCACATCATGGGCTGCTATGTTCTTGGAAACCCCAATGGGGAGAAGGTAAGAGCTTGCTGGGTCGCCTCTCTGTGAACGTCTGCTGAGTAGCACCAAGCCCAGGGAGGCAATAGTCACACTGTGAAGTCTAAACCTTCCTCTTCAGCTGTGTGGAAACATGCTGCTGTCCTGTCCCATGAGTGGCTGTGAATGGGCAAACCACCCTATGGATTGTGCCTTCCCCAGAGGGCAAGGGAGGAGTGATAAGTGACATGCAGGACAAATACTGAAGCCTTTGAGGAGAACTGTCCTTCAGAGCACTTTATTGATTTACTGATCACAGAATCACTAAGGTTGGAAAGG